TCTCTCTCTCTCTCTCTCTCTCTCTCTCTCTCTCTCTCTCTCTCTCTCTCTCTCTTCCCCCCCCAAATCTATCCACCTCTCTATGTGTGTGTGAGCGCGTGTATTCTTCTTCTTTTGTGCATTTTCGGTTCACTTCAGGAAAGGAAGAAGAGAGAGCAGAAAAGATATGGCACCTGGATGCGACGGATTTCGAAGATAGAGGTTCAAATGAGGATAGTAATGACGGAGCAGATGCTGCCGTGTGTCTCAGAAATGCGAGCCAAGATGAGAAGCAACTAGAAGATTAGCGACGGATAGCAAAGCAAGCGGCACATGCAAGTGACCCGAACGAGAAGCAGAGTGCGACCAGAAGACGATGCACGGAGGAGGAGGACTACAAGGAAGGAAAAGAGAGAGAGAGAGAGAGAGAGAGAGAGAGAGAGAGAGAGAGAGAGAGAGAGAGAGAGAGAGAGAGGGCCTCGCTCCACCAGTCACCAGATGCACAAAAGACAAATTATGGCGGTGTGTATTTTTTTTATTTTTTTTTTAAATGGCGTGTATTTTTCCGTGTTTGCACATTTGGTAATTATTATTAAATGAAACGAGGTCCGGAGAAGGCAAGAGACAAGGATCGACGGACCATAGCCATGCAATAAGGCTGGGGGAGGAAAGACGGATATGCCGGAGGGAGAGGGAGAGGGAGAGGAGCTAAGAGACCATACATACACACCATGGCAGCACTTCGGCGACAGAATTGGTCGGTGCAAAACGACAAAATGAGGATCACACGTACTTCCAGGTAAAGTCTCGCAATTACTATATTAGGAATGTGCGGGAAAGACAAGCACACAGTGGGCCTCGCTCCACTACTCGGCGCTCTCACCACATGCACAAAAGACAAAAGAAATACTAACCGCTCTCACCATGTGCACAAAAGACAAAATAATTTTAAAAAAAAGAAAAAAAAAAAGGACAAAATAACTATTCACCTCCCTAACCACATGCAGAAAAGACAAAAGAACTACTCACCGCCTTCACAGCATGCACAAAAGACAAAAGATATGGCGTCGAGTAGTGGAACGAGGGGCCATCTTCAGCTAGTGGGGGAAGTAGGGGCATCGCCACAATGAACTTTCCGCTAGAACATGGTCAGATGCATCCGCCAAAGTTATGTCTTTTTCACATTTCGAGAGTGGTGTGGCGGCGCCCTAGATGGGAGGCTCAGCTACTGGCAAAAAATGCTCGGGTCTTCGCGTTAGCCCCCCCCCC